AAGATTCTTACCGAGAATCTCGGTCTTTCTGCTAGGATCTGTCCCTCGTAGGGTACGTGTCCACTGGAACAGAATCTAATGTCATATTCGTAATCAGTGCCTCAAAATATGCAAAGTTAAAGCACAAACCACAAAACCATGTGGTATAAACGCATATTAACAATTTTACCAATTTTCCTTTTAAACCCATACATTTATTTTTCCTATTTGATTTCATGTGACTTCCTGACTGTTTATAGCCCCGTACCGAGAACAAAGCCCACCACGACAGCGGTCTAGCGTATACATCCGGGGAATAATTGTAGGCCTACAGACTTGACGCGTCTTTTCCGAGCTGTGTGGACACCCAAGACAGAAACGACCCTACCGATTTTCCTCCTCCCGAAAAAAAATCGGGTCGTGTCCGTCCCAATGGACACGAAGGCTCAGCCTGAGTCGGCCATGACAAGTAGAGTTGGAAGACTGCTTCTCTCAAGACTCCGTTCCTAGATGATCTAACTAAATCGTGCCGGTGATGGCGTTAACAGTTGTGTTTTTCAAAGTCCCGAGAGAATGCTTCTCGAACTGTTTATAACGATTTTTTAAAGACATAGAGAGCTATAATAACCGGTGTCTGTGGTATAGCAGTTAAGCCATTCGCTGTTGCAAGCAGCTCAGATCCGAGTTCTATTTCCGAGAAGAGAAAATTATTTTTATAAAGTAAATTGTATCTCAGTCTTATCGTTGGGATGTTTAATCCTCAAACAGCCCAGATTGGCCATGATTGGCAGAGTCGGAATCCTGCCTCCTGAATAAATAAATTTGATGCTTTGATAGAATTTCTGTACTTCCTGGAGCCTGGTTTTCTTTTGTACATCCTTCGCATATTATTTTTTCTGCTGTTGGAAGAAAAGGAAACAAAATTGTTAAATACAGTGCTTAGCCTAGTTATTCTCATCTCGCCCCATACTTATTCAAATCAATGATAATATGAAAGTTATGTTATGTTAACGGGTTTACAAAAGAGGCCTGCAGAAGGCCTTCATGATAACAGTCAGGTTGATAAAGATAACATACATTTCATTTGAACTCAACGTGTTTTTTGCTCAATATTACAACAGAGCTACTCTATTATCTGTCCCCGTGGTTGTATGCACCCCGCATAATTTATCAACATTTGATCATTTTTTGCATAATTTCTTATTATTTCCCTTTATCATTCTTTGTTCAAATTAACAGAATCGCATAATTTCACATTTTAGGGTTTAGTTTGCATAATTTCATAACTCTTTTTGCATAAAACCACGGGGAAAGTATAATAAGGCATGAAACGAAAATGCAAAAAGAAGGGTAGAGGGTTAAGTTTTTCCTTCAGTGATAACATTATTGTCATGACTTTTCCGGCTGGTAGATGGTGTAACATTGCCGTTATCCATTGTAGCTACCAATACCCACGTGGCAAATTATGCTGAAAGAAACGAGATTCTGATCTTATTTGAAACAAAAACAGATTAAGAGTCGTTATTCTTAATGTATTCCAAGTACTCTTCCTAAACAAATTGAAATTCCCCCCACAGCAGTACAGTTCGTCAAAAATAACATCCACATTTTAACTCACCTGCTCACAAAAAATGCTGGAAAATCTGGGGGTGTTCAAGCACTTTTTAAAATCCTTTTTTCTTCTTTGTTTAAATATTGCAATTTTTATCTGAGACAACTGGTATGTTTTCACCCTTGAAACGACAAAGTGAACCATACCGGCAAAGTAACCCCATTTGACGGTACTGCAATTGTTGTTGTTGTTGCTTATGTCGCTGTTGTTGTTGTTGTTGCTGTTGTTGCTGTTTTTCTTGTTGTTATTGTTGTTGTAGAAATCATTCTTTCCCATTTTATTATTTGGCTGGTTTTATCATTTGCATTCAAAATCATTATCTACGCTCATTCTTTGGTGAGCTGGTATCTTTCTCTTTACTTTAATATAACTGAGCACCCAAGGGTCGTGTAATAGCTCATCCTAAATTCACCCTCTCCCGCTTAGCATCAGGATCTCCCCATCATTATTTGAAGTGAATTGAATTATTACCCCATTGTTGTCATCAGCAGACTCAAAAGTGCATATTATTTGTTGCACATCCAGGCAAATCTAAGAAGAACATCGGAAATATCTCCAAGATGCAGATTTTTATCTTGGCAAGAACCTGCCACCACACCACGTGGTCATGCATGTGGTTGTAAAGCGCTCATAGTCATAAATTAAGCTGGCGCTCATAATAATATGACCTTATGCAGTACTACTAAAACTATAAACTAAAATAAATTAAGCTGCCAAGGACAGCATGGCTACGTATGTTTGAGCCAGGCGCGGTTCGTCCAAAGAGCACGGTCGTGCAGTGCTGCCCAAAGTTTTTTAATATTCTATTACGCAAAGCACCCACAAACATAAAATAAAAGAAGCAAGAAACAAGCACTAGCCAAATATAATATCAAAACAAGGTCCTCGCTGGCGCCGCAACTGTCATTTCTATGCCTATATCGCCGTAAAACATCTACTATGCCATGCCAAAGTCCACACGTTTTAACTAAACACAATGGGATATTCAACACTGGTAACCTGACCTATAAATCGCTCTTTGGGAGAACCCAAGCGAAGGATGACTCTCGTAGCGAGTTTGGCGGTACATTAATATTAATAAGACGACACATCTCAAATGTGCTCCTGCCGAATAGTGCCGATACATAGCCCACAGTAGGCAGTCTAAAAAAATAAACGCGATAGGCTGTACGCTATTCAATGCCAAAAGTATGTGAGCCTCGGAGCAATCCAGCGGAGTGCTCAAGTGAATTATGATTGGTTCATCGTCTTGCCGGTATTTTAGTGACTTTGTGACGGTGAACCTGAGGGAGGTGAACGTGCCATACTTAAGTCACCGTCCTATGGGTTGTGCCTGTGAATGGTTTGGTAGTGGAGTGGTGAAAGTTATCACTGGAGTGTTCAGTTCTCATGCTAGATGAACGAACTTGATGTTTCGCTAACAAACAGATTTTAAGTTCTAGAAATCAAAGCGACAAGTAAAAAGAATGAAAATAAAAGCACGAGGTCCTCCCTCACCAACCTAAAGATCCTAAAATTATGCACCATCTCATTTACTATGTCCTTGACAATCTTCAGCCTGCGATAGCTTAATTGTGCACGCCCACTTTTTAGACCCATGAGCCGCCCCTGGTTTAAGCACTAGTGATTTGACAACCTGCAGGCAAGGTCTTTTACCTTTTTCTAAGTTTCAATTCCGATAAAATAGTTCTCGAGCACGTGCTACCGAAACCTTAGAATACGAAATTAAAATACAAAAAAAAAAAGAAAATATTTGGCTTGGGACAAATTATAGCTGATTAAACTCATTCTATCCAATTTTATTATTTGGCTGGTTCTATCGTTTGCATTAAAATTTCCTCAAATCATTATTTACGCTCAAGAGACAATTGCACCTGGCATATAGTTCCTTTGCTCCGTAATACGTGGCGGAGATTGAAACTGACAATAAATTTTAATTCCGAAAACTACAATCTTTCGCATCACTGACTCTACATAATATATTATAAATACTGCACATTCAGTGACGAGTTAAACTGCCTTCTGGCTAGAATCGTGAATAGCGTTCACACACTTTCTCCGTCTCAGGCAAAGACGTATAATCCACTGCCATCCATCATGAAACTGCTTTGTGTGGCTGTCTGCCTTACGCTGCTTGTGGCAGTCACCCTGGGTTGTGCAAGTAAGAATGAAGTCATCATACTACTTTACTTCATCCCTACTTTTCTAAGAAGAGGATAGGTGGGCCCCAGGGTGTATCTAGCGAATTACTAGGTTTTATTATAGGTGGACCCAAGGGGGTATCAAGCGAAATACGCGTTGTGATAGGTGGACCTCGGAGTCAACGTAGTGAAGTAAAAGTAGAGACTCCGGCTGGGTCCATTGTAGCCAAATGTTTAAGGATAGTAGTTCTTAAAAGTGGTGTATTGCGTAATTTCATGAACAGTTGCACAGGCCCACACCAACCACCACATGCCGTATACAGAAATACATGTACTTTTACGCACATTAACTCACACACAATTGCGCGAGCGCGCGCACACACACACACACACACACACACACACACACACACACACAAACAAACAAACAAACGCACACACACACAAACACACGCACACACAGTCATTGCAATGCATCCCTACACACGCACACATCTTGTCACCAAACACACACACACACACACACACACACACACACACACACACACACACACACA